TAATCTAATTACCGTTTTTGCAATAGTAATCCCTTACTTTACTCGTTACCTGAAAAAAGTAATCAGATTACAGTAACGCGTTACTGCCCATCTCTGCTGGCGGATGAATCTGTGTGTTTTTGTTGCGATGTTTAGGTGTTCTTTAAAAAAACAGAAGCAACACAGTTTTTAAAATATTTTTTCTCGTTTTTATTGTTAAAATTGCAGAAAGTGAGAAATCAGCTAAAAAGGTGAAAAAGCTGTTTTTATTTCTTTACATTTGCTTTAGTTCGTGTTAGCTTTGAAAGATGAAATCAAAGGCTGTATATAAAAGATGGATGCTGGAGTGACATCACCTGCTGGTTAGTGAGGGCCTGTTTGTGACGGTTCAGTCACAGAACCTGAACCTGCCACAGAGACCATTAACGAGTTTGCTGAGCTGACAGGCGCCCCCTGCTGGTCATTAGAAAGAGCAGGTTGAAGGACTTTAGCTGTTCAGACATCCATCGACTTTATACAGTCTGTGGCTGAAACACTGACGTGCTGCTTCACATCCAGCACCACCAGACGCTCAGCAGAGACCCCAGCAGAGCCACCAGGGGCGTGACCGCGGTGCAAGCGGTGCCGGAGTTGCACAGGTTGCTGCTGCAGCATCGGTACGTGAAGGCGGAGATGGCCGGGAACATCTGGCTGAGGCGGGAGTTATCGCAGTCCGTGTACCTGATGCACTGACGGATGGTCTTCCCACCTGGAAAACCAAACACACGCACAGAAATCTGATTGGCTGACAGAGAAAATTCTGAGTGGAGCTGAAAAAGAAAAGTGCGTCCTTCATTTTTAAGATTCAGCATCAAAGTAAAATGAGCCGACTCAGCACTAATAACACAGGAGTCTTAGCTCTGAGCTAATCTGGCCAGTCTCTGAACCAGGAAGCTAACAGGAAGTGGTCAACTCTGGGTTAAACTGACCTCTCTCACTCAGAGAGATGCACGAGTCCTCATACGTGCACTCCTGGACGTTCTGGCAGCGTCCGGTGTAATCCTGGCACTTATAGCAGCGAAGCCCAGAACCTGAAGGAGAA